ACCCTTCTTTCTGTGAGAGAACACCAAGAAGGTTTTTGTAATGACTTGTATCACTGTGTAAAGGAAAGCTCTGGGTTTGGCCACAGTAGTACTTCCCTTCATCCTCAGCACGTACCCCCCTGATAGTGAAGAAGAACTCAGTGCCACTGCCGCTGCCACTAAAACGATCTGGGGTCCCTTCAAAACGGGTACTAGCATAATAAATAAGCAGCTTGGGGGTTTCTCCTTCTTTAAACTGATACAGGTGCATGTAATTATTGACAGATGAGGAAGTTTGGCATCGGATGGTCACAGTGTCCCCAGGATTTGCCTGGAATGATGATGGAGTCTGAGTCACGACAATCTGCCCATGGGATCCTAGAAGAAGAAAAACAAAGCTTTTCAATGAATCTATAACATTTCCCAGAGAACCCAGACAGACCACTTTCAGGAAACTTACCCTCAAACAAAGTAAAAGTGAGACAAATCAAATATATGTGGAACATGATGACAGAGCTGCTGGTTCAACTCTCCTTTCCTTTCCTAGGAAATACTGACCCACAGCTGACCTTCAGCCCAAAAAGGACCAAAGTAGGTTCTTTTGAAGGGTTGAGATGGAAATCTATGCAAATCTACCAGAGATGGAAAGATAGTGTTCACTCTTCCTGCAGGGATCTTGAGCTACAAGGACTTCAGCTGCAAGCAACATCTGGGGGAGGGGAGGGGAGGGGAAGGGAGGAGAGGCTGAAAACTGATGACACAGAAGAAAAAACCTCAGAGAGTAATAATCAAAGACAATGGGAACAACTTCTCACCACAGAATGGCATCATTCTTTCATTATTTTAAAAAGAAAAATGTTTATTCATAGTTCGAAATCTAAACAATTCCCCCAAAGGAAAAAGAGGTTATTATTTTTTATTGTAGGAATTCTATGCTGTAAAAGACAGAAATAACCTGGTTGGAGGGGTTCATGTTTGTAAGTAGAGATGGACGTGAATTTAAAAAGAATCTACAAATTGATTCAAACACTGGTAATGCTTCAATTCATATTTGTAGAAATCAATTCTCCTGATGAATATGAATCAATGAATCTTTACTAATTTTTGATCTATCAATTCATTGTGCTCTTAAATGCCACCACCCCACCCCACCCGTGAGCCTAGACACCATAACTGCAGGGACATTTTCCATGACTCTCCTCAATATTCCTTCCAAGATTGGTGAAGATTGGGTTTCAGATGTCTGAGTTATACATCCACAATGAGGGACCCCAAGAAAGGTTCCTCCAAAGCACCTAGAAGCACCAAAATTACAGAGAACCTTCTACTGACTCTCCTGAATCCCTTCAAGTTTGGTGAAGATTGCGTTTCCCCCTGCCAGCTGCTAAAGGGCATATTCCAGGGGGGAATGCATTTTGTGGGTGCCTGAAACTACATAAGAGATATATGGTGCCATGGGCTGTCTAGCATGGGGAGACCACAAAATGGCCCCTAGACCCAAGGTTCAATTTGAGCTGATGGCACATTTACTTCATATGTAAGCATAATACTTGAATGGTCCCGTTCAGTAACTACTGTGCTTAGAAACAGCTGTAGTCATGCTTTTTATTTTCCATGATCAGTGATGAATAAATACCAGAGGAATTTCAGAGGGGCCACTTCAGCCACCATTGTGAAGCCCTCATTGTTTCAAGGGGCCTCCTCCCTCCTTCCTGCAGAAGTCTCTCTTAGATCCCTTCCAGCGCTCCAGCCAAAGGAGGCACCCACACTGCCATGTAGAGCTCTACTCAGTGAATCTGCTTCTTTCCTCTACTCCTTTCGTGGCTCCTTCTCCATCAGTTGATATTGTGGAGGGGCTGTGGCCGCATGACCAGGTCTGCCTTGACTAAATTCCTCTTGGGTCATCATTTTGCATTCCTTTTTCCATTTGGGGTCAGTATCTCTTGAAATGGTTGATGCAAAATTGCAGACAAATTTATAATGCAGGCCTGTACACAATCTGACACAGCCTTGCCATTAACGTGGCTCCCTGGACCACCTGTCTGGGTTGATCAATGGCCATTGTCTAAAGAAAAGCTCCATGCAGTCAAGGTTTTGGTTAAGGAGCAATTAGATCAAGGACATATATAGTATTCCACCAGTCCATGGAATATCCCCATTTTCACCATCAAAAAGAAATCTGGGAAGTGGGTGATTCTGACAGACCCGGGGAAGGCAACAAAAGTTTAGCTCCCGTCCCTCCATGTCTTGCCAGCATGCCATTGCCTTCTGCTTCTGCATTAGACTGAGGCTGTAGGGAAGGAGTATTCTTCACTTAAGCAGGTGTAGTCAGTCTTCCTTCCTGTTAAGTAGAACTGCACAGACACCATGGGTCTCTAATCTTTCTCTCATGCATCACTTCACATACTTCATTCAGTGAAAAGCATGGAGACACTGACAAAAACCATTCAGTATCATTCCGGGTGTCTTACTTCAGTGAGGTGAATTTTGTATTGTGTTGGCCACAGTAATACTGTGCTTCATTATCAGATTGCACACAATTGATTGTGAAGGAAATGTCAGTGCCGGGTAGGTGGGGCTCGTCAGCCATGGAAGGCAGCCCATCTAGGAGAAGGAAAACTCTGATTCCAAACCTCCACTGCCTTGTGGCTATATTCACTCATGGAAAAGGCTTCAGGAGTTAACCTCGAGGCAAAATCCAGAGCTGGAGTCCCGAAGGCAGTTCGTGTCGTTCTGCCAACTCCTGCGACATTGCTGGAACCAGCTGTATTGGCTCTTGCCTTTCCATTGGACCATTTCAGCAATGTGGAGAGGGGGGATCTGCTGCTTGGGTAACAGCCTACCCTCCATATTACCTTACCCGGGCTTCATGCTCTGGAGAGGACACTCCTCGATTCAGAGCATGTTACCATAGTCTCTCGAGACTGAAGGATGCCTATGTGGTCAGTGCCACTGTAGCTGCCACTGAAGCGTTCTGGGGTCATGTGGCTTCATGAATAAGGAGCTTGAGATTTTGTCCTGGTACATATTGAAAGAACTCCATGTCATCACTCATAGAGGAGGAATCTTTGCACTGGATAGTCACTCTGTCCCATGGAGTTGTCTGTAAAGATGGCAGTGTCTGAGTAATGGCAATCTTCCCGCTGGATTCGGGAAAGAAAGAAATGAAGCATGTAGGTGAGTCCATAACATTTCTTTTCAAAGTCAGGGAAGACAGCAACCCCATTAAAATTTACTCTCAAACAAATTAAAAATACGTAAGCCAAATCAAATACATCAAACAATTTATCTTGTCTCTCTGAACAATTATCAGGCAGTTGATCTTCAGCATAGCTAGGATTTAAGTAAGTTTTAAAGTGTCAAATATGGAAATCTATGCAAATTGTCAAAGGGGTGCAAACGAGATAATTGTCTCTGCCTGAAAGGACTGGATGGGAACATTTCACACCCATCATGCCAACACTTCTTGTGTCCGCGTGGCACAAGGAAGAAACTAGTGCCAAAGTGGGAGAGACAGATGAATTTGCTGGGATTTTTGTACCACCAGCAACCTGTGGTGCATTTTTGTTTCTTCTGATTTACTCTGATCTGCACTGGTGTATCTCCTGTCCATGTGGATCCTGGTAATATGTTGATTCATGCTGTTTCCTGTTGTTTCTGAATGTGTTACATAAGATGACATTTCTTTCTGGGTGTGTTTCCACCGATCTAGCCCTCTACTCCTCCATAGTTCAGTGCCAGCCCTGCCTGTTTTGCTTCTACACAACATTTCTCACATTTCTTTATTCCTTATTCTCATTCCCCGTAGGAACTGGGAATCAAGATGAAGCTGCAACACTTCCCTCCTCCAAGTAACATCTAGTAATAATATCAGGATGTCCCGTTGCTTCCCTTTGCTTCCATTTTTTAATAATTAGCTTTGCAGTAGGGCTAGGATGATTTCTCAGGAAATGCCCAATTCTCTTTTTGGATAGAGTGTCCTCCACATTTTTCAAAGCTGATGTCAAAAGCATATAATTTCCCAATGATTTTGTAGGCACAAGCCCATTAGTGTAACCCTACCAATCATCACTCAAAGAACCACAGTTACACCAAGGGTAGGCAACCTGTTGTTTCTGTGCACACCTCCAAACAGTGACCATTTGGGCAAGTATCCTATGGTTAGAAAACAACAAACAAACAGAGCCACATCTTCCTTCTTGAGCATGGCAGAGTTCTAAAGCAGTTGAAACAACAGAGCCCTTGCTGACTGCCAGGATCTTGAAGGATTTTTTTGTGGTTCATTCAGATACAGTGGAATTGAGATGTGCTCTGTTTCTCCATGTGCCCTCTGCTGAACAGCTGTTCAACTGAAAGACACATCCTCATTCTCACAAGGGTTTATGTACTGCTTTGTATCACTGTGCAGAGGAACTCGGTCGTTTTGCTGACAGTGGTAATATCCTTCATCCTCAGCTTCAACACTGCTAATGGTCAAGGTGAAATCTTCTCCATAGCCACTGCTGCTAAACCGAGCTGGGACATCTTTCTGGCGGGTATTTCCCTCAGAGAAAAGGAGCCTAGGAGGTTGTTCTGGTTTCTGCTGGTACCAGTTCATATCATCATCTATGTCAGTGTCTGACTGGCATTTGATTGTAGCTGGATCTCCAACAGATAAGAAGAGTGATTTGGGAGACTGAGTCAACACAATCTGCCCACTGGTGCCTAGATGAAGGAAGAGCGGGAGAAAATGCATGGGTCACAGTATATTTATGGAAGACCTCCAGCTAGGATCTTCCCCAAGAATAATCAAGGATATCAGCAAATTGTTTACAGATATTAAATAAATCACTTCTTGATGGAGCTTGTCCTCTTACCTTGGATCCAGAACAAGAGACTCAAGGAAAGATACACAAAGGACTCCATAATGCTGGCTACCTAGTGTGTCTGCCACTGGCTAATGAAGTCCTAAATGGACAGCAGCTGATTTATACCAAAGAGGAAAGGGCATGTGGGTGGAGTAAAGCAAATGAGGAAGTTAGGGACTCATTGCCATTGTATTTATAGTGCTTTGGACTACGGGGTGTACACGCATTGGGCCACAACCTAAATGTTGACCTGTCGCGGTCCACTTCAAAGACATTAAGGTCTCATCTGAAACAAGGCAACTCGTCTCTGGATCAGTCCTGAACTCCAAACTAGGCCACCTTGAAATCATGTTAAGAGAGGAAAAGCCTTTTAATCAGGTTCATTGTAGGAACTATATGTGTAGTTTGACCCTTGTATTTCAGGTTCTGTGGTTCAGTTTTTCTGGGTCTGGTGGGTAAGGTACTATGACAGAGAAAGCGTATTTTTGTTGTTGTGTGCAGAGTGTGGGTGTTTTCTTGGAGGTTGTATCAGCACAGCGACTCCATAAATGGATGTGTTAACAATGTTATTCTAGTGAAAAGCTGAGGGCAGCTTGCATGAAGAGATAATATTCTGCAGAGTTCACTTCTGCCCCTTTGTTCTTGTTCACTACCTAAAAACATAACATTTCCAGCAATGTGGAACTAGGGGAAAGTTTTTGGTACCAGTGCAGGAAGTGAGTGGACTAAAATGAGTGGACAGTGTTGCCCCTTCTTGTAGGGATCTTGAGCTACAAGGCTCCAGCAGCATCTCGGGGGGGGGGAGGGAGAGGTTTAAAATTGGTGAAGCATGAAAAGAAACCACACAGTGTAATAATCTAAGACAAAACAAAAAACATCTCACTAGATCAAAGCTACAGAATCACACAATTGTTTGATGTTTCTGGAAATAACATTTTGTGTTAATATATAATCAAGGGGTTTCCCATATCATGGTTCTTTGAGAACTGGTAATGGAGAATACCGTATGTATTTAAAATACAAGTCAGATATGTTATCACACAATTATGTTTCTGGAAATAACATTTTGTGTTAATATATAATCAAGGGGTTTCCCATATCATGGTTCTTTGAGAACTGGTAATGGAGAATACCGTATGTATTTAAAATACAAGTCAAGTCTGTTTACAAAGGAAATTGATTCTAGAGGAATAGGAAACAAGAACAGGATCTTTGTGCAGCAAATACATTTCCAGAGTAAAGATTAAATGCATCACATGTATCACCATCATTTCTAGCTACTCTCTGTGGTTCAGCTGGTGCCTATGGGACAAGCAGCTGGATACACAATAATATCCTGAGAGAGTAAATGCCCATCACCTGGAGTGGCACATCGTTCCCCTTCTTAATGCTCAGCAGTGGGTATGTGCCCTGTTTTCAGGCAGGTGTGTAAGAACAAACCAAACCAGGGATCTTTGTACATTTCCAAGGGGAATCTAAGTGGGATCTTATGAAGGGTAGAGATGGAAATCTATGCAAATCTACTAGAGGCGGAAAGACAATGTTGGCTGTTCCTGCAGGGATCTTCAGATACAAGGCTCCAGCAAGACTTCGGGAGGCGAGAGGGGGCAGCTTAAAACTGATGAAGCATGAGAAGAAACGTCACACAATAATAATCCTAGACAAAGATAACAACTTCTCACCAGATAGAAGCCACAGAATCACACAATTGCTTGATTATTTTTAAAAGATAAACTTATATTCATACTTATTCAGTGGGTTTTCCACATCACAGATTTCTTTCTTTTGGTTATGGAAACACACATTTAAAATATATGTCAGATACAGTATGTTTGCATAGGAAATTTATCCTAGCCAAATAGAAAACAAGAATAGCCACTTTGTGCAGCAAATAAACATTAAAAGCAGCAGATGGATCGCCATCATTTATAGCAGCTCTCTGTGGGTCTTGCCTATGGGTCAAACAGCTGGACACACAATAATAGCATGATCCTGGCTGGACAGCTCCGTGGCTTAGATATCAGGCTGTAGAGCCAGAGGTCGGGCCTTCAGTTCTTCATTTGCCCTCAGTGAGTGGATCCACTCTGTGTGGCCTGAGCGGATTCACTCTGTGTGGCCTTGGGCAAATTACACAGTCCCAAGGTGATCCCAGAAGAAAGGAATGGTGAACCACTTCTGACTACTGACCTAGGAAACCCATAAGCCAGAAGAGACTTTTGGCACATGATTATAATTATTTATGGCCAGTAGAGTAGAATAGAGTAGAGTAGAATAGAGTAGAATAACACTTTATTGTCATTGTATATGCTATCCAGACTATCATTCATTCAGCTAAAACTCCATGTGAACGCCTTACAAAATTCGACATAATACAAGTACAACTACATTCGCATGCAACCCTACAATAAGTCAAATTAAATCTTAACTGAATTAAGCAAAGTCGTTGCCCTTTGATAAAAACTGTTTTTAAATCTATTTGTCATTGTTTTAATAGATTTATATCGTCTTCCTGACTGTGGTAGTTCAAGCAAAGTGTATCCAGGGTGGAAGGTGTCCTTTTTAATATTTTGTGCTTTTTTAAGATAGCAGGTCCTGTACAGTTCCTCCAGGGTGGGGAATAGACACCCAACAATCTTCTGTGCTGTGGAGCAATCACCCTGTGGAGCAATTTTCTCTGGGCCACTGTAAAACCCGCGTACCACATGCACATACAGTATGACAGTACACTTTCTATCAAGCATCGATAAAAGCACACCAGCAGCGTCCAATACCCTGTTGCCTAAATGCAGAGCAGAAGGGAAATCATGTGTGGATGCCCACCTTGTGACACAGTTCATATTGCCATCCTTATTACGTGACTGGTTGCAGTGCAAGTACAGATATGCACTGAGGGCCACTTACATCATTTCTCTTCCACTGTTCCTTCAGAAAGCTAACAATTAATAAAACCAGTAAGACAAATAAAGCAAAATACAAGAGGCAAAATATCCAAACAGAAGAGAGAGCGCAAAGCATAGTAACAGGCAGAGTTGCATTGGAAGGCCTCTCTGAAAAGCAAGCCTTTTAGAAGCCTACTAAAAGTTAGGATACTTGATATTCTGATATACGTATGGGAGGGGAGAAGGCTGAGAAAGGGAACAAGAGGGGCTAAAACTCCAACTGGCATGAATGAAGAGTAGGCGTAACAAGCTGGCTTACAAATGGAGGAAAAAGATAAAATGGAGAGCCCAAGTCTGGAAACTTTTTCTGTCCTGCTTAAAAGATCTTTTGACCTTCCTATATTTCACTGCACACCCCCTCCCAATATATCCTAGGGCTTGGTGGAGTTGCATCATTCACAATGACCTTGGCCTATCATCTGTGTTTCCTATTAGCAGGAATTGGTTTTTCCAGAGATCCAGAGGCCCACAGATACCATCAAGGATCTACTGTAGATAAGGTTTGGGCAGGATGTCTCTGGAAGGTCACGGGGATGGACAAGTACAAATCTGTGTGAGGCATGAACCAGTTGGAGACAGAAATGCACATTCCTATGTAATAGATATAGGTGCTATGGGATTTCTGGCATAGGGGGACCACAAAAATGGCTCCAGACCCAATGTTCAATTTGAGCTGACAGCACCTTTATTTCATATGTAAGCGTAATACTTGAATGGTCCCGTTCAGTAGAGTGGTTGTTTGACCAGATAGGCAGGGTATCAATCAATCAATCAATCAATCAATCAATCAATCAATCAATCAATCAATCAATCAATCAATCAATCAATCAATCAATCAATCAATCAATCAATCAATCAATCATGTGCTTATGTTCTCCTAGAAACAGGTGTATTCAAACTTTTTATTTCCCTTAATCAGTGATAAATAAATACCAGAGGAATTTCAGGTGAGGCACTTCACCCACCATCATGAAGTACTTGTTGTTTCAAGGGGTCTCCTCCCTCCTTCCTGCAGAAGTCTGTCCCTTCCAGTGCACCAGCCAAAGGAGGCATCCACAATGTCATGTACCACTCTATTCAGTGGATCTACTTCTTTCCTCCAGCTGCTAAGGCCATGGAGCGGCCGTGACCCCTTCAGCAGGTGTGCCCTGACTTCCTTCCTCTTGGCTCATCAGCCTGAATGGAAACCGTAAAACAACAGTCCTGCTCTCATGCTCTGTTTCACACAAAAGGTCCTGTGGGCAGCTGAAATTAAAATGAGAGTCTGCCACAGGACAACTCCAGGACTCTTCTTTCCGTGAGAGAACACTAATTTGGTTTTTGTAATGAAATGTATCACTGTGTAAAGGTGTGTCGTAGCTTTGGCCACAAAAGTAGTCCGCTTCATCTTCAGGACGTACCCCACTGATGGTGAAGGAGTAGTCAGTGCCACTGCCGCTGCCACTAAAGCGATCCGGGGTCCCTCCAAAACGGGTTGAAGCTCTATAAATAAGAAGCTTGGGGGCTTGTCCTGCTTTAAACTGATAGAAGTTCATATAAGCATCAACAGATGAGGAAGCTTTGCATCGGATGGTCACAGTGTCCCCAGGATTTGCCTGGAAAGATGATGGAGTCTGAGTCACGACGATCTGCCCATGGGATCCTAGGAGAAAAACAAAGCTCTTTGGTGAATCTATAATATTTCCCAGAGAACCCAGACAGAACACTTCAGGAAACTTACCCTCAAACAAAGTCAAGGTGAGACAAATCAAATATATGTGCAACATGATGACAGAGCTGCTAGTTCAACTCTCCTTTCCTTTCCTAGGAAATACTAACTGACAGCTGATCTTCAGCCCAAAAAGGATCAAGGTAGGTTCTTTTGAAGGGTAGGAATGAAAATCTATGCAAATCTACAAGGTGTGAAAAGTGACTGTTGTCTCTTCCTGAAGGGATCTTGAGCTAAAAGGCTCCAGCAATACTTTGCGAGGGGAGGGGAGTTTTAAAACTGATAAAGCATGAGAAGACACTTCAGAGAGTATGCTTCCTGACATGGAGCCACCTCAAAACTGCCACCTATTTCCACCATTTAGTTTGTGCTCATGGTACCTTTACTGCATGTGTTAAGTGTTAGCAGTCTTCTTTTGAAGTGCCTAAATCATTTCTGAGAGCCAATGTGCAGTAGTGGGTAACAAGGGTGTCTACAGAAATAATGTGCATGCTAGTTGGGTAAAGTTTGTTAAGAACACATAGGGATTGTTGACATGACTGTAGTATTTATTTATTTATATGATCTATATTATTTATGTGCTGCCCATCTGGCAGCCAAGACCAATCTGGGTGGTTTACAACAAATGACATAAAACAACAAAGTAACAAAATAGCAAAGAACAACATCAATACATAGCGGCGAAAATAAAAAATCATAAAATGCGGTGAGGATAAAATTACAATAAAATAAATACAATTAAAAGCGTAGAAAAATATGTACCTACCTACAATTAAAGAAATATCAGGTTTATAATATTATGAGGGGTCAAGCACCCTTCCTAGCCTCCCCTTCAAAAACATTCACAATGGGTAGTGTGTTGGTCTATAATTTGGGAGGGTTGGTCCCAAATCCTTGTTGAGTCACAGAAACTCTCTGGGAGAAAACAAAGGTAAACCACTCCTTGAACATCTCTTATGTTCTGTGACACCACCCCCACCACACCTGGTAGCTCTTTCTTCTTCTTTTCTTATTCTTTACCTAATAATAATCCTGTGCCATCAAGTCAATTCTGACTTAGGCTTTTTAAAATGCAATTTTGCTTTTTCTCTGTTCTCTTTCCCATCCAATTTCCACACCTCCCAACCCCCCGCCATTCATCGTCATGCATCCAAGCATCCCAGCTATTGCTTTTTCATCTTGATTTCTAGCCAAGCACTTCTAGTCACTTCCAGTTCTGCCCAACTTGTGGCTGGAACAGGTTAGAAGGTGGCAGTGGCTGAACAGAAAACCTTAGCTGCATAATTTCCTTAACAATTTGTTTCTACATGTTTCCCAGTTTCTACTTGTTTATATTATTTTTAAACATATTACAAGAGTTGTTGTTGTTGTTGTTGTTGTTCTTCTTCTTCTTCTTCTTCTTCTTCTTCTTCTTGCCTGTATTGCCAAATAGAAAACAAAAATAGCATTTTTGTGGCGCAAATGCATTTTTGGAAGAAAGATTAAACTCATCAAATGTATTAACATCATTGACAGCAATTCTCTGTGGTTCTGCTTGTGCCCATGGGAAAGCATCTGGGTACACAATAATAATCTGATCCTCTGGCTGGTATTCCTGATGCCTATAAGCAGAGCAATAAGGAAATCATGTACATCTGCTCACCTTGTGGAAGAATCCCTGTTGTAGCACCTGTTACATGACTGGTTGCAGTGCAAGAATGGGTGTGGTGCCTGCCAGAGTTAGGGGGTACTAACACAATGGAACACTAGCCATTTTGAGATTGGCCTATGACTCTGGGGTGTGTGTTATAAGAGTGAGGCAGGCACTGGGGAAATACCAGTGGAAGAAGGCCCTGGCAGAGAGAATAATAATGTTAGCCTCAGGGGCATAAGGAATAAATAGTAGGGATCAGCTCAAAGGTTAAACTTCCTTCTCCCATCTTCCTGTCTCTCTGAACTAGTACAGAAGTGATCAAAGAAGGAGGTGAACATGGAGAACTCAATCTTCACCAAACTTGGAGGAATTCTATAGAAGAGTCAGGGAAGCCTTTCTGCACTTTGGGTGTCTCCAGGTGCCTGGAGGGAATTTTCCTGGGGGGGGTGGTTATGTGGGTATATAACTCCAACATCTGAAACCCAAACTTCACTAAACATGCAGGGCTTGTAGAGGAGAGTTAGGGGAAGCTTCCTTGAGATTTTGGTGTCGCTGGACACTTGGGGAACTGTTTAATAGGGTTTTAAAATAAAAAATGGGTCAACCAACTGATTCATCGAGTCATCAGAAAAAAATATATAAATTTGTTATTTGTGATTTTGTGACTTTGATGAATCAAAATGATTTTCTGATCCATGCCCATCTCTACTCATAAAACATCAGGGAGAAGTTCACGCAGCAGTTTCAGAAGGTAGTTGGCTTACTTTAAAAACCCCTATTTATTTCGGGTTTAGGCTCTTTTGAATTGCTGCAAAAATGAGAGAAACCACAATGCATGTGAAGGAGCAGATTAATTTGATGGGGCATCATGCTTTTTGGAGTGGCAGGGAGATTTTTTTCTCCTCCACCAGAGGTCCATTTATTTTAATGAAGATGTGGAATTGAGTCATTTAAATTGATTCCACCTTTGTGAATGTCTCTGCCACTTGCTTGAAGTCACTGAAGTCTGCTGTTTAGAGGTTTCTTTCTTCAGTTATCCAAGGTCTTGGGTAGGTTCTCACAGCCACAGCTACACTGAGGGATGTGTCATCTCAGTGTAGGCAAGGGAGGCAAGAGGCAAGGGAGAAAATAAAAGAGAAGGTGGAAGATGTAAGGGTAGGGATGGAACATTTCTTCCAGGTTTTTTAAAAAACAAACATTTTATGTCTTTTAAAAACCTGATTAAATTATTTTATTTATATAGTGTCCCAATAGTGCAAAGCAGTATTCTGGGTGGCTTACCACATCAAGAATAAAACACAACAAGAACAGCTACGTAATAAATGAAAGCAATCTGACAAATAAAGCAAAATATCATGAAAGGCATAATATCCAAAAAGAAGGCAAAGCATGCGGCATAATATCAGGCAGGGTTGCATTGCAAGGCCTCTCTGAAAAGCAATGATCTCAGAAGCCTTCTAAATGCTGGGAAATCGACTTGATATTCTGATCAATGGGGCAAGAGAAGGCTGAGAAAGGGAACAAGAGGGGCTAAAACTCCAGGTGGTGTGAATGAAGAGCAGGCTTAACAAGCTGGCTTACAAAAGGAGGAAAAAGATGAAATGGAGAGCTGAAGTCTGGAAACATTTTCCGTCCTGGTTAAAAGGCCATTTGTCCTACCTATATCTCACTGCATGCCCCCTAGGGCCTGGTGAAGTTGCATCATTCACAATGACCTTGGCCTATCATTTATGTTTCCTATTAGCAGGAATTGGTTTTTCCAGAGATCCAGAGCTCCACAGATACCATCATGGACCTAGATATAGGTGCCATGGGCTTTCTGGCATGAGGAGACCACAAAACTGCCCCAGATGTTCAATTTGCACTGATGGCACCTTTACTTCATATGTAAGTGTAATACTTGGATGGTCTCATTCAGTAACTACTGTCCTTACATTGTCCCCAAAACAGGTGTAGTCATGCTTTTTATTTCCCTTGTTCAGTGATGAATAAATACCAGAGGAATTTCAGAGGGGCCACTACAGCCACCATTGTGAAGCCCTTGTTGTTTCAAGGGGCCTTTTCCCTCCTTCCTGCAGAAATCTCTTAGATCCCTTCCAGTGCTCCAGCCAACTCTACTCAGTGGATCTGCTTTTTTCCTCTACTCCTTCAGTGGCTGCTTCTCTCTCAGTTGACGTTGTGGAGGGGCTGTGGCCCCTTCAGCAGGTGTGCCCTGACTTCCTTCCTCTTGGCTCATCAGCCTGAATGGAAACTGTAAACCAACAGTCCTGCTCTCATGCTCTGCTTCACACAAAAGGTCCTGTGGGCAGATAGGATTGAAAAGAGATTCTGCCACAGGACATCTCCACCACTATTCTTTCTGTATGAGAACACAAAGTTGGTTTTTGTAATGACATGTATCACTGTGTAAAGGAAAGCTCTGGGCTTGGCCACAGTAGTACTCCCCTTCATCCTCAGCACGTACCCCCCTGATAGTGAAGAAGAACTCAGTGCCACTGCCGCTGCCACTAAAACGATCTGGGGTCCCTTCAAAACGGTTAGTAGCATAATAAATAAGAAGCTTGGGGTTTTGTCCTGTTTTAAACTGATAGAAGTGCCTATAAGCACCAACAGATGAAGAAGCTTTGCATTGGATGGTCACAGTGTCCCCAGGATTTGCCTGGAAAGATGATGGAGTCTGAGTCACGGTTATCTGCCCATGGGATCCTAGAAGGAGAAAAACAAAGCTCTTTGGTGAATCCGTAATATTTCCCAGAGAACCCAGACAGAACACCTTCAGGAAACTTACCCTGAAACAAAGTCAAGGTGAGACAAATCAAATATATGTGCAACATTGTGACAGAGCTCCTAATTCAGCTCTCCTTTCCTTTCCTAGGAAATATTGACTGGCAGCCAACCTTCCACACAACAAGGATCTACATGGGGTCTTAATAAGGGTGGTGATGGAAATCTATGCAAATCTACCAGAGGTGGAATCACAGTGTTGGCCCTTCTTGCAGGGATCTTCAGATAGAAGGACTTCATCTACAAGCAACATCTGGGTGATGGGGGAGGGGAGGCTTAAAACTGATGAAACAGAAGAAGAAACCTCAGAGAGTAATCATCGAAGATAAAGGGAACAACTTCTCAGCTCATAATGACACAATTGTTTGATTGTTTTAGAAAGAAAAACATGTACGTATTCATATTTATTCAGTGGGTTTTCCACATCACAGATGTCTTTCTTTGGATTATGGAAAAATGCATTTAAAATATGTTTCCTATATATATATATCTACATAGAAAATTGATACCACCCAAACAGAAAACAAGAATAGCCGTTGTGTGTAGCAAAAGTAAACCACTCCTCAAACATCTCTTACTGTATACTCTGAACACTCTATCAAGAACATGAGCAGTCTGAAGCAACCTAATTATATGAAAAAACCACAAACAGTCTCACGAGCTGGCAACTGTATGAGAGGGCAGGCGGGCGGGTGGATTGGAGTGCAGGCATATGCATGTGTGTGTACGCACACACATGCGTTCCTTCTGCCCTCAAAAATATGGAAAACATATTATGTGGCCCTCACTGTAAAAATATGGAGACCCCTGATTTACATGATCATTTGTATTTTCAGAAAGAATGTATTAGAGAGAGGTATTACCACAGCTCTAGTCTTTGGTACAGAATAGATATCCTATCCTTTTAATAATTTCATGAGAAACACAAAAATACTCAAACCCCCAAAAATTTGAAAGCAAGACTAGCATAAATTTTGGACAATAAATGTTTTATGAATCCCATCAGTTTTGTCTGAATGACTTAACGGCAACTCCATTTGCTTCTGTATATTTTCTAACTATTGCTTTGGCACCCCTATACTTTCCATACCTTCCAGGTTCCTTACCTAGTGACCTAAAGGTTTAGAGTCGTCCCTTTGCTCTTCTTGATTGATGTGGTTTACATTAAAAGGGGAAGACTGTTCATAAAAATAAGTTTAGTGGATCTGTGTGTCAGTCTTCTTTATCTATGGCTTAATAGCTTGGAGATATTACAAGACTGGTATGTATTTATGAGTTATGACATTTCAGTAGTTCACACCTGTTCAGTTTCAAATGTAACTTTAACAATCCATTTTGCCCACAATGTTCTGTGACACCATCACCACCACACCTGGTAGCTCTTTCTTCTTCTATTCTTATTAACTTAATAATAATCATGTGTCATCAAGTCAATTCTGAATTATGGCAACCCTCTGCTTTTTCTCTGTTCTCGTTCCCACCCAATTTCCTCACCTCCCCCGTTTCTCATGCCTCCAGCAATCCCAGGCATTGTCTTTCCAGCCAAGCACTTCCAGTCACTTCCAGTCCAGTCTGACCTGTGGCCTGAACAGCTCTGAATGTGGTAGTGGCTGAACAGAAGACCCAGAGCTACACAAGTTTCCCAATTTTTACTTTTTTATATACATATTATAACTTAATTTCACCTTTTCCATGTCAGAAACCAGGACAGCCTTCTACAAAGCTACTAGAACAATTTAAAAGCAAAACATGGACTCCCACTGAAAACTGAGAAATTATGAAATGTTATTGCAAGGCAAACTCAACAGTCCGTGGTTTTTAAAAAACAATGATTGAAATTTGGAAAAGACAACACCCAAGTAGTGACATAACTGAACAACAATTAATAGACCAGAGAAGGTTTATCATCTGGAGTAAAGTGTTTTCAGAAGTTGAATTGCAATAACTACAAAAGGTGGCAAAATCAACACAGAACAACAACCATAAAATAGAAGACAAATGGAGGGTAGAGGTAGACACAATAGTGGAAGAAAACATATCAATAGAGGAACAACTTATGGAATAACCCAGAAATTATCAGTTGACAGAATGGCAAACAGCCAAACTCCATACTCATCTGTTGCCAGCAAAGGAAGCGGATGAAGAGAGGGGGTGTTGTTGTTGTTTAGTCGTTTAGTCATGTCTGACTCTTCGTGACCCCATGGACCAGAGCACACCAGGCCCTCCTGTCTTCCACTGCCTCCCGGAGTTGGGTCAAATTCATGTTGGTCACTTCGATGACACTGTCCAACCATCTCATCCTCTGTCATCCCCTTCTCCTCTTGCCTTCACATTTTCCTAACATCAGGGTCTTTTCCAGGGAGTCTTCTCTTTTCATGAGATGGCCAAAGTATTGGAGCCTCATCTTCAGGATCTGTCCTTCCAATGAGCAC